CTTCAGGTGAAGGAAAATTCTTTTCATTATTTTCTTGATAACCTCCTCAATGTGGTTTTTTTTTGGGGGGGGGGGATTTCCCCACATCAACAATTCTTTTTTCTTTAAGGATTATTTATTTATTTATTTATTTTTAGAAAGAGGGGAAGGGAGGGACAGTGGGGAATAGAAACATCGATGGGAGAGAAACATTGAAGTTAGAGAGAAACATCAATCAGTTGCTTTCATGTATGCGCCCTGACCAGGGGCTGACCCTGCATCCCAGGCATGTGCCCAGACCTGGAATTGAACCAGTGACCTTTTGCTTTGTGAAATGAGGCCCAACCACTGAGCCAAACTGGTCAAGGCCACATCCACAATTCTTGAACATCAGCTGAGTGTCCTACAATGCAATTTAATTCTGACACTATCTACCCACAATACTATCCCACAGGGCTCCATCCCACAAGACTGCCCTCTCTTCAGGTGCTAACCACAAGCTTAGGGTGTTACCTGCGTTGTCACCTTGTGTGCCTTAAACTTACATATGTTACATGTCAATAGAGCTGAGAAAAAAACATTTTAATATACATTAGTTTGTTTTCAATCTTTCATGTATTTTAAGAAGATAATTATATATAGTATGTATCCAATTTCATGAGAAACACAATATATACATTTTTCATTAAAAGAAGAACTTCATAAACCTAATTAGATAGTTTCATGATATTTTGGGGATGCATATATTATGTTTTACTTAACAATTTCCTTATCATTTGGTATGTTGGTGGTTTCCAAAATTATTTGCTAGAGATATTTTTGTGTGAAATGCTTTTTCCATGCTTTTGATTATTTTCAAGAGGTTCATTATACTGAACTGGACTCTAGCAGCTATGGACAAAGGAGGCTGGCCAACAGTGAGTACTTTTATTTATGTAAAGTGTTGCTTAATTTGATTTACCAAAATGGTAATCTTTATTTTTAAATTTGCTTTTCCTTGATTATTAGAGAGACTTGACTATTTTATCATATGTTTTTAGTCAATACAGCTGTAAATTGTATAATCCTACCCTTTGTTCATTCATTGATTGGAGTTTTAGAATTGATTTTAGTGAGTTTCCAACATACTTATTAATCCCTTGTCATTTTTTACTGGATATTTCAGTTTCCTTTTTATTTTAATATTTTTTGTTTTAAAATTTTTATTTGTTTGCATAATTGATTTGTTGATCGTGTGTGTGTGTGTGTGTGTGTGTGTCTTGCAACTCACTGATTTTTAGTTTAGAAAGTATACCCACACCCAGAGATTTGACAAACCTATATGTTCTCTTATCATTTTATGGACAGCCTTGGATTTACATAATTATGTGATATAAAGACAGTATTTAAGTTATTCACGTACCTCATTCAACAAAGGTTTTAGCATCACCAAAATATTTTTCCCAATAATTTTGGATGCTTCCTTAAAAAAATATTAAATTTTTGTACAGACTTGGGTCTTTTTCTAGAATAGTATCCTAATACATTGATATGTTTACCAATTTTCATGCCTCAACCATAGTTACAAGTTTTGCAGCTTTATAAAATGTTTTCAAGTCTCATAAGACTGATTTGTTTTCACCTTTCTTTGTCTTCAGATATTTATGTTATTTTCATGTATTTATTCTTTAAGGTGAACTTTAAAATAATTTTTTTCCAAATTTCATTGGGATTTACGTTACAATCATGACAATTATAAATTAATTTGAGAGAAAATGACATCTTTTAAAACTTCAAGAAAAATCTTCTATTAGGTCTTTTATTTTTCTCAGTAAGGAAGTATAGTTTATTTTCATATTGGTAGCACAGACGCTTTGTTAAAGTTCCTAGGTATTCATGTTAATCGGGCTCTGTTTGTGGGATTAATTGTGAGATTACTCACGATAATGGACTGAGTGACCCACACAAGGCTGTACTGCTGAGACTCATTGAGACTGGAATACGGCTCGGGACCTTGAAGCACCCAGCTCTAGCTGTATGGACAGTTTTCTGGTTTTCACATCAAAAGCAGAAGTTTGTTGGTCCTCTGCCTTTAGGGTAGTAAAGCATTTCCTTATCTAGTTCCATGTTCCTGCTGTTGAACCACCTGGCCATTTACTTTGTTAATCTTTTCTCATTCTCACGGCTTTGGCCTACTCAAAATCAATTTGATTTCCCTCAGCCATGGCCCATCTTGGCCCTTCCTGCCTCATAGTCACGGTCACTTTATGAATTCAGATTCAGTTCCCTTTCCAACCTTTAGGCCTGTGGGTGGTAATGGCTCCTGGCTTTGCTGATTGCAGAGTGCTGCACCCTCCCTTGTTAATTTCCTTCAGCCCTGCCCACACAATTGCACCCAGTCAGGGACATTGCAATGTGGTACACAACTGGATTGGCACCTGCCCCAGGCCGGGCCGAGCCAGGACATACCCAGCTTCCAAAGGTGAGAGTCCTTGTAATGTTGGAGGTAACAGATGAAATCTCATTACTATTCCTCAATCCTGTGGCCCACTCTCAGAAATAGAATGGAGCTAGTCCAGCAGAACTGGAGGGAAATGGGTTCTTTTCAAATTACAAACTTTTTACTCAAAAAAAATTTACAAAATGTTTCTAATTACAACAGTATATAAAAATTTAAAAGTGTACAATTGAAAGATTAAGCACAAAAGAGTGTAAAATTAAAAGATTAACAAATGATAAAGCAGATACCCATGCACTTATCTTCTAGCCTGATTACCACACGTAGAAGCATCGAGAATGGGGATCAGTGCTCGCTGAATAGCACCTCAAACGCTCCAGGACTTGTACAGTATCTGCAAAAATCTGGCTTTCCTCTCTGTTGTCCAGGCTAGTGGAGTTATTAGACTCCCGACATCAGCTCCTCTGATGTTTGGGAGTATAATGAGGTGGCCCAGGATGACATGAACAGCAGATACAAATAGCAAGCAAGCAGTGAACACACTAAACTTTTGATGATTACTGATTTTTAATACTTTTCCATTTTTCTTTAGAAAACAAGCAGGCACCTGTGGGGGAAGTAGCTACTTTACTTCTTCTGAGACACGGTTTTGATCTACTCACAAATAACATGTGTTATTTATGCTTCCAACTTACTCTGGGATTCTGCTTACTTTTGGGTTTTGTTGACTGCTTTCTCTCTAGTGTTTCCCCACTTGAGGCCTTGCCCTCTGTTGCTCAGTGTCCTTGTATATCTCACATTTTTCACTCCCAGAGGGACAAAGAATCTGTGTGGTCAGCAGCGGGTATTGTCCTGGTTAGGCAGAGCATTGTCCAGCTGCTGCTTCTTAGTACCTCGTGTAGATGGGATACATTTACAAGAAGGGGGCTGAATCTCATGGTTTGACTTGGACAATTCCCTAAAACTGTTTACCACAAGACTGGATGACTGCATCTGCCCTTCACTAGATTGTGAGTTCTCCTAGATAAATAGTGCCCAATGCTATATTTTGCTATGCTTCAGTGGCCTCTAGTACTGAATAAGTCTTCTTTGACATCTTTCTCTCACCATAGTGTCCAGTCAGTCAAGTCCTCCTGAGCTTCTCTCCCAAACACTATCAGATACGTTCACTCCTTTCTCTCCCGGCTTCTACTGCTTTAGTCATAGCCACAGCCACTTTTGCCAGGATCCTTGCTGTGGGCTCCTTGCTTCCAATCTCATACTCCTCTAATCAGGGTCATTGTGCACAGCTGGGCAATTTGTGTACCACACACAGGTGGCTGCCAAGGAGGTTAGTGGACTAAAGTATACTTTGCATTCCTGTGCCCTGGTGGTGTGGATCTCTGTTTATCTGGAGAGTACCTTTGTAATTTGCACAAAGGTGCCACATATTCTGGTGGCACAGACCTGCACTGTCCAAGGCAGTAGCCACTAGCCAATGTGGCTATTTAAATTTTAATTAATTAAAATAAGTACAATGTAAAGTTCAGTTTCTCAGTCATAGTAGCCACATTGCAAATGCTCAATAGCCCCATGTACTAGTGGATACTGTACTGGGCAGTGCAGATAAAGAAAATCCCCCCACTGTAGAAAGTTCTGTTGGATAGAACTGGAAACACTCTACTTCTAAACCATTTGCTGTACAATTTGCTAGTGTAAGCAATCTTTAATGACAAGCTAAACATGTCCCTCTTTTGCTTAAAATCCTTCAATGATTTCCACTTCCATCAGCAGTTATCAGTTAGCAGGTGGTGGGTAAACTTTGTGGGTCGCAACCAGTACTAAAAACAAAACAGCAAAAAAGAATAGAATGGAAAGCACTCGTGGATCTTTAGTATTGTTTTGTGAAATTTTTGTTTCAGCTCTATTTCTTTGTCTCTATATCCAGATGCCCATCTCCCTATCATTCAATGTCTATCGTGTTCTACTTGATTGCAATGGAAAAAGTCTTTCTAATTGTGCACGGTGAACAAAACAGTTTGAACAACACTGGCTTGTGAGATACGCAGTCTGAGCTCCTTACCAAAGCATGTAAAACCCTCTAGATGTGAATCCTGCCTAACCTAACCCCTTTCTAGCTCTCAACGCTGTCTTGCCCTATGTTCCCCTAGTATAGAACTGCTGGTGATTTCAGCTAAGATACCCTTTATCTGGACAATTTCTACTCATCATGTAAACCTCAGCTTAAGAAACAGAAATCCTGCCTTCAACTCTCCAGGGCGGGCTGCATGCCCTTTCTATAACAAGCTGCAGGCTTCCATTAACGGGGTTATAATATTGTAATGATTTATTTAGGTGTTCGTTGCCAGCACTATACTAAGTTCTTTCAGTATAAGTATTATCTTACTCATCTTTGTATTTCAAAGGAGAAGCGCACTACCTGAAACATACTAGGCTCTCATTCAATAAACATTTGTTCAAAGAATTAACAAGATAAGGGAGGAAAAATCAATCAGCTGTGCGGTTAATCTAAGTGCAACGCAGACTGCTGCCGTCAGAGGGCGCAGGGGCACCCAGGGCAATGCGCAGGCGCGCTGGTAGGGCGGGCGTGTTGGCGGCGGCGGCGGCGGCGGTCTTGGCTGTGGCCTCGGGAAGTGAATGGTTTTACCCAGCGGGCCCTGCGTTGCCTTTCTCCGCTGGCACGGGCGCTCCTCCCTACTCCTCCTTCCCGGCCATGGCGTTCACGTTCGCCGCCTTCTGCTACATGCTGGCGCTCCTTCTCACCGCCGCACTGATCTTTTTCGCCATCTGGCACGTGAGTAGCTGACGCCGGGGAGAGAGGGCGAGGCGGCGGCGCAGCCTCCTGCCGTGGGCCCGCGGTCGGGCTGGCTACGGCCGGCCGAGGGGAGGGGGGCGGGGCGGGGCCGGCGTGGCGCAGGCTGCGCTGCCCAGGCTGCGCTGCCCGGGGTCTACGCCCCCGGTCCCTAGGCCGGGGCTGCAGGTCCTGGAACGGGCGAGCCGTGCGGTGGTTCGATGGATGCGCTCGCTGGGTCCCGGCGCAGGCCGCACGCGCAGCTTCTCCCTTGCTAGGTGGGGCGGCCGCGGTCCTGACGGGCCCTGCGGGACCCCTGGGCCGGCGCAGCGCCCCGCATCCCCGCACCGCCGCATCCCCGCACCGCCGCATCCCCGCATCCCCGCATCCCCGGGGAGGAAGTCAGGGGCCCTGAGAGGCGTGCTCCGTGCTTAGCAGAAATGAAGTTTTCCGATTTATTAGTACAGACTGACTGACTTTTTCGGATTTCTGCAGGAGTACGACACAAATGTAATACTACTTTAGGTGATTTCCAACCTATTTTCCACCACTTATTGGGTGATCTTTAAGTTAGAATTACAGTTTTCGGATTGTTTGTATGTGAACTTTTGTACAGACTGGATCGATTACTTTGTTGACCTTATCTGCGAAATTTTTCCCTAAGTCATACTTTGACCGCCAGAATTTCTCAAGAGACAGTCTTCATAGCCACTTCTGTATCTTAAGTAGCTTGATTTAGTAAAGGTAGTTTTTATGTTTTTTTCTTTTACTAACATGCTGAAGGATAGAAAGCACATCCTTACTGGTCCCAGGACGGAACTACTAAGTTACCTGTGATACACTTCTGCAAGACATTTTAAAGTAATTCTGTTCCTCTAGCGCAAAATTAAAAGCAGCCTTCTGGAAATCAGCATTCATTAAAAATTTATCTTGTATTTACTTTTGCTACCCCACCCCATCCTTTATGTTCTAGTGTCTTCTGCAATTTTGGTCTTGAATGATTGGGCACGTTCACTGTCATAAGTTTTATGTCAGGTTTTATGCCCATAACAAGGATTTGTTTATGGAACATAAAGGGAGAGAGTCATTTTAAATGGCAGCAGTGTCTTGCACAAAAATAATCTCAAAGGGAGAGTGAAATCGCAAGTCCGTTTCCTTCTGCTAAAATCTGTGATTATGTTTACAATTGTTACGAACTCAACCGTTTGTGTAGCGGGTAATGCCTATATGTGGGCTTGTTAAGTACCTGGTCCCTCAAAATGCTTGTCAGTGAGAACCAGAAATGGCAGAGCACTTTAGGCTCTTTGGTGGAAGAACAATAAATGAGATCATTTGGGATGCAGACTAGCTCCTGTTTCTGCAAGCCTCTGATGGAACTGAAATGTGTGGTTTCACCTGTAGATGGGAGTTTAAGTCACTTCCTGCTTGATGGGTGCTCTTTGTTTTCTGAGTGATGAGGATTCAGAAGAGAGCTGTGGATGGCCTTTTACATTTTAAACCAGGTTGTGTTTGGTTTAAGGAAAACCAGAACTGCAGTTTTAAAAACTGGGTAATTTTAGCTTTGAAGTGAATCTGTGCCCCAGTGAAGTAGATAATTTTAAGTCCTCTTTCAGAATTAAAAAGAAAAATTGTTTGTACTCCACATATTAGTGGAGAGCTTTTCTTCTTAGGGATTTCTTAGTAGTCCAGAGGATTATCCATTCTTTGGGAACAGATAGAAAATTCTAAATAAATAGTTTTAATTCTATCTACTGCATAACCTTCAGTTTATCTTCTAAGGTAGTTTAATTATCAGAAGACTCATTTGGACATTATAAATTCACAAAATCCTGTTTACATTAATCACTGTATGGAGGATGTTTTTTATGCTGGTAGAAATATCTGTCAGTTCAGTCCGAAGTCATGTGTTTGGTGCTCTGTGGAGAACAGAGTCGGGAGCATAGATTTGTTTGAAAGCTAAAAATGTGGAAGTCATTCCCTAAAGATATGCATCGGATTCAAAGTTATCCTGAATTGGGAAGTTTGGTATTTTTAGGGATTTATCTGTTTTATTGTGGTTGCACTTCTGTGGGGAAATTTTGTTCACACCTTTGTTTTCATGGAATTTACTGATGCAGTTGCAAAAGATTTGAAAACTGCTAGTTTAATAATCTTTTCAAAAGAGTTTTGAAAACTAGCTTATGGTACTCAAACAGAAACCCATTCAGCAACATACTCTTTAAAAGAGCCCTTGAAATCACAGGAAGAAAATGTACAATCAAAAAAAGGTTAGTTTTAACCCTGATTGGTGTGGCTCAGTTGGTTGGGCGTCTCCCCTGTTGTGTGCTTGTGAGTGGCAGCCTATTGGTGTTTCTCGCTCTCACATCAGTGTTTTTCTCCCTTCCTTCCTCTCTCTCTAAAAAAATAAATAAAATCTTAAAAAAAATAATTTCTTAAAAAAAGGTTAGTTTTAAAACAAGTTTTGTACTCTGCTGTTAAGTTAGATCTTGTTATAGGCAAGCAGTTGTATTTGTGATCATGTCATGGTCCTTGTCTTTGAACTTGATTACTAAAGTGCATTGGGGATATGTCACAGCTAATGTCAGGTAATTGACTAATAATGTCCATAAATAATCAGAAATTAGTATTTCTAATTGTTTATATGTTTTTAAAAGGACTTTATTTTTAGAGAGAAGGTAAGGGAGGGAGAAAGAGAGGTAGAGAAACAGCGATGTTGAGAGAGAAACATCCATCAGTTGGATGCTTCTTGTATGTGCCCCAGTTGGGGATGAACCCATAACCCGGGCATGTGCCCTGACTGGGAATCAACTGGTAACATTTTGCTTTGCCAGACAACACCCAACCAACTGAGCAAAACCAATCAAGGATGTATATTTTTATTTTCAACATTTATATATGTTAGGGATTATTAGCAGAAGAAAATGCCTTTTGGTGAGTCCTGTACTTTTTTTTTTTTTTTTAGCATAGGGCTATTTTTTTTTTTCTCTTTTTTCTTTTTCCCTTCCTTACATTCAGTAAATATCGATTGAACACTTAAGTATGTGCCAAGCACTATTTTAGGTCCTGGAACATAGTGAAAATCTTTCTTTTCATGGAATTTACATTTTAATGTTTAATTATTTGCTTTCTATTCCTATTTAGTTAGCATTTTTATTAGGTCAGGTTGGTGAGTTTTATGAAATTAAAAAAACCCATCTTTTTATGAAGCTAAGAACCTTAATAGGGAAATCAACCAGCATATTAAAATCTAGAAATATATGACTCCATTGGTTACTGGTAGCATCGAGTAACACCATCACACATAATAAAGATGCTATTCGTAACCCACAAGAGGAAGGGTGGATTAGGTTCTCTGTCCCCTGTGTGACTAGTGGGAGCAACTAAAATACCTCCCCCATATATTTGGTGCCTTTGGCTTTTTATTTTAATACCATAAAGTGGCGCATTGCCCCTGTTTGACTTTTCAGTACATACTGACTTTGAAGTTCTCTGTTTAGTGACCTTACATGTTAAAGCCACATTTTTCCAGAGTCTGGACAAAAGCATTTTTGCCATGTATTTTAACTGGATATGATCTTTCCTCTCATACCACATTTATAACTGTTTCACTCATCATGCTGAGAAACTCGTCTTATCTGGGCTTACCTTATTCAGTCTTTAGTTTGGTGACCAGATGGAATGACCCACATGAGGTAGGAATGTGCATAGGACTTGAGAGGAGGTCAGATCAATCACTGGCCTTGAACAAGGGTTCTGGTCTTGCCTGTGTGGTACCTGTAGGTGAATGGGAACAAGATGCCTCTTGGGGCAGAAGAATCCTCCCTCCTGAACAGGCAGTTTCTCTGGGTACAGAGCCTGGTGCAGAGCCCATGCCAGGTGCTTGGCAGCAGGAGCACGGGCTGGCTAGGAGACCCCACGTGGCCTTTTGTCCTGTGCAGAAACTGCACTCCTGTATGTGGTGGTCTGGCCATGACGTTGGGTAATCCCTAGTGTTTCTCTACTCTGAGACCATTTCTTGCATTTCCAAATTGAAGCAGGACTTTGAAATGTAGGTGTTCGGGCACAAATGAAAAACAAATTGAAGCATGGGAGTCCATCTCTAGTGTCCTACTGAACACTGTGACAAGGGAGGGGCATGCCCAGATAATTAAAAACACTTCATCCTGAGGGGCACAGTCTGGTGGGGGACACAGCCTGTGCGTAAATACTGTTCTCCAAAGCCAGAAATACTATATTGGCAGTGTTATAAAGCTCTGTGCTATTCGGAAATTAGATAGGCACTTATTTATGCCCAGGGGAGTCAGGGATGCCTACTGAGAGGAGTTGACAGAGGAAGGAGGTTTTTTTTAAGACAAAGAGGAGTTTTGATAAGTAGTTGTGGGTGGGGTGAAGATCATTTCAAGTCAGAATAACTTGAAAAAGGCATAGAAAAAAATTGAAAATTGAAGATATTTATCGTAGTGGTAACAGATCATTTTAGTGATAATATAAAAGTATTTTCAGTTGTTTAAGTCTGATTCTAGTTATTTATTAGCTCATGTTGACTTTGTTGTAAATAGGTACATGTAATAGTGGTACGTTTTTGCTTTTGTTTTATTAACTTTATTCAATTGTCATTTGATGAAGGGGCAGGTTTGTTGCTTTTCTTTATTAAGGTGAGAGGTCCTAACTGTTTTAATTTTATTGTAGATTATAGCATTTGATGAGCTGAAGACTGATTACAAGAATCCTATAGACCAGTGTAATACCCTGAATCCTGTAAGTTATAATATTGAATTTTTCTTTAGATTTTAAAACCCTTTTTGCTTTTAACGATATAATTTAAAAATGGCCAGTATTCTCAGTAGCATGGTATATTTGTACTTTTTGAAACATGCATTTTTAAAAAATATTCTTTTTCATGTCCTGCTTGACTATTCTGACTATTATTAATCTGCTGGTGATCTTGTCAGCTGTCATACTAACATTCTTCCAATCTGCTTTTTACATTGTCGGCCAAAGACAGTTGAAAAGGTCAAAAAGATTAAAAGAGTCAAAATTGCATTAAAGGTGTGTACTGCTTTTTAGTTTAATGTTTTAATGCTACATTCATTTCATGGGGAGGGTTAGGGCATTTGTATTTGTAAAATGTTCTGTTCATTGTGCTCATTCATATGCCTGTTGAGGTTTATGATTTCATATTTTATGCAAACGCTTGCTGGCCCAGTCAAGTAGGGAAAGCTGTTAAATGCTTATACATTTTTAAAAAATGTTATAGCCATAGGCACTTCTATATTAATTTGGTACAGTATTTGACAGTTGGTTAACATGAAATGACTTTACTAGACGGTGAGACAATTCACCTGTTGTCACTTGTGAGGGAGTCTTTAGTACCCTGCCCAGTTTTATCTTTGGTTATATCCCTTCTGGGATTAATTTATCGTTTCAGCTGATGTTTACTCGTAGTCTTTTTAGGTAGATGGCTCTGTTCCTAGGCTCTGGAATCTTGCAGTAATGCTGATCTCTGGACTCATCCTGTAGATAGCAATTTGTATACAGATATCTACATAATTATCTCTAATATATATATCCATTCTAAATTTCTAATACAGACCTGTCTTACACTAACTTCTGAGCTCTAGTTTAATAATAATGTGGATCTGTTGTGCTTGAGGGTTCTGTCTATATTTTTTACTTCATTTACCTCATTGAGAAAGATTCCTCGTTAGCCTGTAGGTTTGCTTTTACCTAGCTGGTCAGAAACTGAAAGGTATAAGAAAGCGGTGGGTATGTTTTCAAGAAATAGAATACAACATTTCACCTTTAAAAATTACTTCATAAAGATGGGAACTTGTATACTCTTCAGTTGTGTCAAACCATAATTCACTAGCTTGCTAGAGGGATTTTATTTGGAGAAGGGTCTATAACAGTGATTTTTATTTGATGTGCTGCAAGATTTTTTAAAACATGCAGTGCCTGACTATTTAGTTGGGGCATAAATGATAGCAGCCAACACAACAATAGCCGTCTGCTGTGAATGAATCAAAATTATACCTATTTTTTTGTTAGATTGACAAAAAATACATTCTTTGGTGTGTTGCAGAAGTTTAGTAATTAGTGTATGTGTGCCTTGAGATGAAAATGGTTGAAAGTTACTGGTCTATAAAGTTAGTTTGCTACTCTATCATTGTTTTGCAGATAAATATAAATGATGGAATAGATTTCTAGTTTGTCTTTAAAGAACTGTTGCAGCATGACTTGAGTAGATACATTGAAAAGTATTAACTTACTAGCTGTTCTCTCCTCATATGAAACAAAATATGAGATGACTGCTTTCTCATTAGAAAGTAATGTTCATTGGAAGACATCATACTGTTGAAACTGTTACAAAGAAATTTAGAAACTGAGATTTCTTCTTTGACAGCTGTTTAATAACAGTATTCTGTTGTCTTTGGCTTTTCATTACTTCAAAAAGCAAATGGCAATGAGGATAGTAGCTGAAATCATATGAGTGCCTTCCTGGGCTTCCTGGGTCCCAGGCTCTGACCTAAACATCTTCACCTGGGTTTTGCCATCTGCTACTCATATAGGTATATTGTTATTTTCATGAATTGGAGAGTAAACTGAGGCTTAGTGAGATTAAAGCACTTAGCTCAAGTTCACACAACTAAGGTATAGCCTGAATTTGAACCTAGACAGCTTTATTTTTAAGCTCAAGCTCTTGTATTTTCCTAATTTACTATAAAGTTAAGAGGGACTAGTTTCATTTTAACATAAACCGTGATTGCTGGCTTTTCTTAATGGAAAGAAATTCTCACATAGAAAAGACGTACTTGGAACATCCTAATGCTGTAGTAGGTTTGAAGGAAGTTTTCCTACAAGCACAAGTTGTGTTATAGATAGGGTGCCGATAATTGGCTTAATATCAGTGCATCTGACAGTTTTCCCTATTAAAAATGTGTTTTGACAATTCTGCGAAAGTATGAGGGAAGACAAATATTTTTAAAAATGTGAACCTTAATTAGAGAATATTATGCTTTGAATGTTTAAGTGCTACCACTTTGGCCACATTTACATGAGGTATTTTTTTTCTGGATACTAGTTTTTGTGTAAATGTTAGTTCCTAAGTGAAATAATTTTTGTGCCACTTATGGGAAAATTTTGTCATTAAAGAATGATCAGAGAGGTCTGGTTTTTATGAAAGGTGCATGATAAAAGTTTCTGGACTTTTCTTTTTTTTTTTTGGAGAAGGGGGAATATAGCATTTGTTTCAAATTAGAACTGGTGGAGTTGCAGATTATTTTCACTCTTCCTAAAGTGTGTTGTTTCAGATCAGTAGGGGCCATGCTTTCAAAATTATTCTTTACCCCATACCTCAGCCAGGAAGTATAGGACGAAAAGTTGGATGATAATTTGTATTGTTTGGTATCAGTTGGTTTTTAGAGGGCAATTTTAATTTTCTTTATTTAAAAGAAAAATCCTATAACTTAAACTAGGATTGTAAACAGCAGCTGTAGTAGAACTCCTAATAAATTGTCTTTTTTTCTTTGGTTTGTCCTAGTTGTAGTCGTTGAGTTTTAAAGACTGCCCATGGACATTTTCATGTTTAGAGACTGTAGTGTTTAACTTTGATGTTAAATAAATGCTGGCTTAAAGGTTTGTGCTTTTTACAAATTTATATACTTAAGTTTGTAGAAAATATCTGGTTAGCGACGTGGATTAGTTGGTTTTACTGGGATTTCATTTAAAATAGTATTTATTGAAAATTTTTATTTCTACGTTTAAACTGGAAAAAGTAATTTGGGAGTATTAGAAAATGGGCTTGAATACAGAGTATAACTATATTATTTCTTCAGCCATGGTTTCCCCTCAGGAAAGATCTGATAATGCTGAGGATTCATGTAATTTTAATTTGGCATCATGAGAAACTGGCTTTGCAGCTGTGAGTTGCAGGCAGTCCTTTGGCTGCAGCTTGAAATGAAAGGTGTTGGTATTTTTATTTAACAAAGTCATTAAGCTGAAATCTTTAGGATGAGAAAGATGATTTAAAGCATTAACTCCCAGTCATTTTATAAAAAAACATTTTGTTTGAATTAATTTTTCCTCACTTAATACTAACTACTATCAAAAGATTTATTTTGTTCTTGAATTCTGAGCTGCTGCTTCTGGCCTGACCTGTCTAGCATTTCATGGGAAAGCAGGCTTAAAGAAGCAGGAATGCTGAGTGAGAATGAATGGAAGTTCAGGAACTGGGCAAAGTTTCAATTTCATGGGTCAGAATTCAAGTCTTTTCCCTCCTACATTGCAGAAAGCACATCGTTTGCATTTGTGTGTATTAAAGGTCTTTCCTCCCTAACTGTGCTGAGGTTATTGGCTGTTGGCTTTTCATTGAAAAGTTACTCTGTGGTAATGTGATATGATTTGTTAAATACTGTACATATAGCATTCCTGGTTTCTGTTAAAGGCTTAAAAACACTAATGTGTAAACTTCTAGAGGGGAATTTTGTTTTTGTGGATTTTTTTGTATCATGTTGCATGTGATCAGATATCTCATTTTTGTATTTTTATCATTGTTGAATGGTGGAAAGAAAAAGTATTCCAGTTGATTAGCAGATAACTGTTTGAAAAATCTGGGCGGTAACTTTGTATGATATAACCTATTGCTTTAAGAATTTGAATGTTAAATTTTAGGTTTTATCTTATTTTTTTAGTGCAAGCTATATTCTCTGATCCGTTTGCTTGTGTCCTGCTTTTGGTAAAAACTTAAACATGGGAATGAAACTCAGTAGCATCTTTCATCCCTGAGTCTCAGAAAACAGTAATATTTCATTATGGAAACTTGGTTGCCACCAGTTTTCCAAATTAGCAGTTGATATGTATCCAGGCATTTCCATAACTGGCTTGTATTTTTCTTCCAGCTTGTACTCCCAGAGTACCTCATCCATGCTTTCTTCTGTGTCATGTTTCTTTGTGCAGCAGAGTGGCTTACACTGGGTCTCAATATGCCCCTCTTGGCATATCATATTTGGAGGTAATGCTTAGATATACTTCTAATACTTTTCCTAAATTTTAATTATTGCTATGGTTACTGTGGTTACCTTACATGCTAGTCACCTAAACAAAAACTGAAAATTAGTTGGTGTTTATTTTAAAAATCAAGCTGGTGAGCAAATTACTGATTTAATACCCCTTCGGGAGGTCTTACTTGATTGCTCTTCAAAGGGTTTTTTGTTTTTTTTTAAATGAGGTATAACTTACATACAGTAATGTGGGTAAGTCTGAAGTGTTCACCTTAATGAATTGATACATATGTATACGCCCGTGAAACCTCCACCCAGCTCAAGACATGCATCCAACCTCCTGGAAGATTCCCTTGGGCCACATCTCAGTCAGTTACCCCTGTACTTCTCTAGGAGAACCACTGACTTCAAAAAACTGAGGTTAATTTTGCCTTTGAACTTCATATAAATCAATATGTAACTTCTTTCTCCACATTTATGATTTTAAATTTTGTTATTTATAAAAATATTCATATTTCATAACTTCTAAAAGTTCTGTCTGATCTATATAGAATTATAATTTTTTGTTTTAAATACACGTACAAATCTCATTGCCCTCAATTTTTGGAAATATATATACTGAAGAGTTTAGGGGTAAAATGGTATCACATCTGTAGCTGACTCTGAAATGGTTAAAAAATGTATGCATATTTAGAGATAAAATGAGAAAGAGAAGGGTAAAGCAAGTATGGTAAGTGAACATTTGGAATGCCTGGCTTGAAGTCTTCATATACCTTTCCTGTAAGTCTAAAATTATGTGAAAATAAAAAGTTAAAAAGGTTTTATTTCCTTTTTACAGTTATTCCTCTTTTTTCTTGGATTTCTCAAAAAGTGTAGAGGAGGCCAGATGTAACTTGTTTAGCTGTTCTGTTCTCATTTAGAGGCTCTAGTTTTAAAATTAAGATGATAAAAGGAAAGAGCTCCATCTATAACGAAAAGTATTCCACCTCCCATTGTAACAAATATTAGAGAAAAATCCTCCTTTCCATCCTGAAGGTTTGCTCCCTTTTGAGTGGCTAATAGACTGTGTTTATTACAGGTATATGAGTAGACCAGTGATGAGTGGACCAGGACTCTATGACCCTACAACCATCATGAATGCAGATATTCTAGCATATTGTCAGAAAGAAGGATGGTGCAAGTTAGCTTTTTATCTTCTAGCTTTTTTTTACTATCTATATGGGTAAGTTTAAAAAATAAAATGAAAATATGATTTCACTTTGTTGCCTAAAAAGTTTGCAGGCATTATGATCTTAACACCTTAGAATCCACTTGGAGAATAACTCAGTGTCTTCAATGGTGGTAACCGGTAATGACAGTGCACACGAGCTCACTCATGCACATGGGGCGTGAATATACTGGTACTCGTCAAGGCAGCCAGCTTTGCGCTATCAAAGGCAGAATGCTTGGTCAGGGATACTGCTTTCTGAGCTTCAGACTTGTTCAGTGACTGAAGGGGAATCTTCATTCTCCACGGTGAAGTGATGGCATTGGGAGGATATTGCTTGGTGATTTTGCCAAAAAAAAAAAAAAAAAATCTCAGGATTGTGTTTAATTTTTTCTATATGATTCTTCATAAAATGTATGTTCTGCCATTTATCTTATGGTTTGCTTGATCTGAATGGGATGAGTGAAAGAAACATTCTATCTTACAGGGTGGTACAGTTATCAATTTTTCTCTTTTCCTTACATAATGGATTTGTCATTCCTCTAGGCCAGGGTTTCTCAACCTCAGCACTGTTGACATTTTAGGCTGGAAAATCCTGGCTGTGGGGAGCTGTCCTGTGCATTGTAGGATATTTAGCAGCAGCTGTGTCCTCTCCCCACTGGCCAGCAGCACCGCTGCCCCAGGCATAATCACCCGAGATGCGTCCTGTGGGGCACAGTTGCGCTGGCCGAGGAGCCCTGCGCTAAGTGTGCTGCCGGTGGAGTAGAACAGCTGCTTGTTAGAACTAGACAAGGACATCGTCAGGCATGGAGTTACAGTTTTTCTTTAAGTGATATAAATACACTTTTCTGATCTTCTGTTGATTTGTATTCAACTAGAGAAGGCTTTTCCAACTGATTTTCAAAATATGAAGGAAATTAGCTGTACAAGATGAAATTGTTATAATTGGCTTCCTTCCCTCTCTTTCCTTCAAAACTTGCGAAGTGTTATATATACATATTTCTCTTTACGTCACATAAATTTCCATTGTAGAAAAGGATGCATGAAGGAGGCCTAGACTTTCCAGTCTAGGAAAAAAGTTATTCTTACGCTCCAGAGGTTATAATTGTGAAAACGAGTATCCTTCAGCGTATCTAAGGATGTCACTCATGTGAAACAATGATAGTAATCAGTTCTGAAAAGTGAAATTCCATGTGTCAGTCCAATTTCTTGTTTCCATTTTTAGCATTTCTTTGTAGCAAATGTCTGGAACAGTACTGGTCTAGTGTAGGCATTTAAAACATTATTGAAAGAAAGGGATGATTGGATAAATGGTAAAATTGGAGATGCAGTGTGGGAAAACGTTCACCAGAAGATGATGACACTAGGACATTCATTTCTGTTTTTTCTGCTGAGTTTGCTCAGCTCCTTGAAACATGACTTTGAAGCACTCTTGTCCTGCATCGCTCTTTCTGTAGAATTGCCTAGTAGTCCTTAAGCCTCAGTCAAATAGATACTGCTTTTTATTTTGTTTGTCCCCCTTTTTAACCCCACTGCTGTTGCCTAGAGCCTTTCTTTAATGGGGAAGTTCCTTAATTGTTCATTCCTTTCTGTAAAATGGGGATAATAATAGTACTCACCACCTAGGACTGCTTGGAGGATTCAAGGAGGCCATGTCCGTAGAAGACCTAATGTGGCAGGAAGCCAGCCCTCGGAGATCCTCGCTCCTATTAATAGACTCAGCTCCGAAGTAGTGTGCTGTTTTGGATTTCTCTAAGCTCTGATCCCCCATTAAGCTTTCAGCTGTGCTGTTCTACTTGCTAAAATTGGAAAGGAAATAGGGGGCAACTAGAGCACATGCACCAAGCCAAGTCCTACCTTAGGCAAAAGTCCATAAATGCAAATTAAAATCATACTGTGAACTTGGCATCGGTCTTTTTATTTTTTGTGATAGTGTGATCCCACAGACTTGTTTGCTATATAGCACCATCTCAATTTTTTGGTCCTCTTATTTTTTATAATTAGGAATGTTCGAATTAACAGCTTTGTTTTTTTTCTTTTCAGCATGATCTATGTTTTGGTGAGCTCTTAGAACAACACACAGAAGAATTGGTCCAGTTAAGTGCATGCAAAAAGCCACCAAACGAAAGGATTCTATCCAGCAAGATCCTGTTTCCAAGAGTAGCTTATGGAATCTGATCAGTTACTTTAAGAAATGACTCCTTATTTTTTAAAGTTTCCACATTTTTTGCTTGTGGAAAGACTGTTTTCATATGTTATACTCGGATAAAGAATTTAAATGGAATTACGTATACATTAATATAAAATGATTACCTCTGGTGTTGACAGGTTTGAACTTGCACTCTTTAAGGAACAGCCATAATCCCTTGAATGATTGCATTAATAATTGACTGTCCTTAGTCCATTGGAAGCTTTTGTTTATAGGAACTTGTAGGGCTCATTTTGGTTTTATTGAAATGCCGTCTAACTACAAATTAGCTGTAGATACCAGGTGCTTCTGAGGAACTGAAAATATATATCTGATCTGTGGGAAACTTCACGGGTTTCCTCATCTATCATGTAGATGATTATATATGGATACATTAAAAAAATAAGAAGAGTGGGATTTTTTTCCCTTTGACTTGAATATTATCCCTGTATATTGCATGAATGAGAGATTTCCCATATTTCCATCAGAGTAATATACTTGCTTTAATTCTTAAGCATAAATGAATATGATATAAAAACATATGCTGAATTACTTATGAAGAATGCATTTAAAACTATTTTAAATGTGTTTTAATTTGTAAGACATTACTTATTAAGAAATTGGTTATTATACTTACTGTTCTAACCTGGTGGTAAAGGTAGTCTTAAGAATTTGCAAGTACTTTAGATTTACAGAACTGAATGAAAGAGAACATTGTATTACCGTCCTGCTGTTCCTTTAGTGCAATACAATAAAACTCTGAAATTAAGACTTACTTTCAGTGCATTGTTTTAAAGATTACAAACAGCAATTTCATTAACTTGCTTAATCCATATTAAAGGCATTTTACTGTCAATTTTTAAAGTAATACAGTATTACATTGTTTTTTAATACCGCATCAGGGTCTAAAAAGATTTTTACATGACTAAGCACATCACCTTATATTGTCGCTTGTGAGGATCCATAACCACTGATGGCACAGCATCGTCATTTTTCTTACCAATATGAAAAAATGGTGGCACTATAAATGTTCTAAGTTTTTTTTCCTTTTTCAAACAGGTTTTAAGATAAAATGATTTAATTTTCGCTGCTTCTTGTAAGGCAGGTAAATTATGGCTTGCATGTTTTCATAAGCATTTTTGTTCTTTATTTATGATGAGGAAGTTAAGGCAATTGAAAATAGTGTAAGTAGTTCAGAAGTTTCTTAGACAAAGGATCAAAGAATGAAAACCAGTATATGGAAGTTGCACATAATGATCAAAGGAGTTTATGGATGTCTCTGTAGAAGTCTTACTCTTAAGAACCTGTGACATATAAGAATTAGATGCTGTTTCGCTATTAGTGAAAAATTTGAGAGAGTAACTTACTGTTTTGAGATTGGGTATATTGAAGAAGAGGATGTAGAACCAGGAGAATGGGAAGAGTCAAACCATTTCATAATGAGGGAAGCTTTAAAGGTCTTGTATTTTGTAGTCTGGAGAACACCGTGGATCTGACTGTTCGTCAGTTCATGCAGTAAAGTATTTATTGGGCACCTCCTAGGCACTGCAAATTCATGCTCTGAATGTGAGCAGTCATTCAGTTTCTGATCCACCTAACTATATCTGTACCCACTCCTGATTTTTCTTTCTTGTTTGCAACTACTTTTGATCCTGAGAGACCTGCCAAAGTCTATCCACCAGATAGATTTCCTGGGGCTTTCATGATCCTGTCAAACTATTTTCACAACCTTTATAAGTTTTGGCATACACCTTTTTAATAATGTTTTCCAGAATATTCTCCAGGATTAATGCAAGGTTTACTGTTTGCGATTTGTAGAAGCCACCTTCTCATGCTTCGAAAATTAGATATGTAGGCTGTGGCAGGGTAGCTCAGTTGGTTTGATCCCTGGTCAGGGCACATATAAGCAGCCAGTGAATAGGTAGAACAACAAATCGATGTTTCTCTATATCTCTCTCCAATCAATAAAAAAATAAAAAAAAAATAACTAGGTATGTAGTCTTTAGCTAATTCCTTAAAAATGATTGACAGGTTTACCCATCGCGGTGGTAGGTTGTTAGTTGTTAGGCATGTAAGTGATTAGAACATTGAGTACTTGGATGGTCTCATATCTACTTATCTTTCCCTTTTCTAGTTCTTCTAGTGTTTTATGCAGTTAAATCCCCCATGAGAGAAAGCAGAAACAAAACACTTGCATTTGACAATATCCCATTAACTTTTCCTTGCTCTGAATTTGTGTCCCCCACCCCTGTTAATGTTTTTGGAAGGCCATGGCCTTACTTGTATCATTCCTGCAGGTCCAGCTGAGGCATAGGTAGCCTGGGCTGTAATCTTTTCTAGCTTACATTAAATTGCTTACCCTGCAGACAGCTGTTTATTTAATAATTTTTGTCCTCTTGTTACAATTACTTTTGATATTACGAGCTTTAAGAGGTTTCTAACTCTCAGAAACCATTAGTGTAACACTGTGGTTTATACTTATACTAATAGCTCTTTATTTCTATGGGAACTATAGATTCTCCTGAGTTAGAAATCTTATATAACAGATGTAGTCTATTTAGCAGCTATTCTGTTTAGTCATAATACTATATCATGGCAATATGTCCCTTTAGTACTAAAAAGGTGTAGGGGTGGAACTTACTTGAATGCCAATATCTGAATTTTCTTAATGACAGTTGATGATTTTCAGTGCTTAATGGATTTCTTTACCCACTATCCCTAGGTAGAGGAGAGTCGGCTCCCAGGTTGTAGACAAACTGCTACTTCGTTTGAAATTCCAATTATTTTCCATGCGAAGGGAGTGTGATAGGAAATGGCCAGACAGTCCACTTTTGCCATGTATTAGGTATTGGTAAAGCGTCTGAGAAACATCATGCTTTGTACCATGAACTGTCAGGCCTACCAGTCAGGTTCGGATACGCTGATAATGGTCTTGCACAAAACAACAAAGTAGGTGGCAGATTGCAGTGTGTTTCTCTCTTAAAGCCTGTTTGGTATCTTTCATCTTAAGAGCCACTTACGCTGATAGCTCTCCTAAGAGCTTCTCTCTGCTCCCCACATCAACAAGCTTTGGAAAAAAGGAAGGTATTTGTGTAAAAAGAAAAGAAAGATGTAGGTATACTTTGAAACTAGAAAAATACTTTCTTTGGTACGTCTCTTTTCCTCCAGTTATGTTTATGATCGGTGTTATGATCAGCTGTGGTGCAAATGATGACTTGTCTTTTTACCGCCTGCAGGGCACTGGGCTTGTCCTGGGTGTGGCAACATCACAGCATTGTGATGTACTCAGCCCATTCAAATAATGATCTGTATTTTAAAAGTACTCATCTGAGTTTACTTATCTAAATGATTTAACACCCACAAATGTGCATCTCAATCAGTTGTACAGTATAATTGTAAATTAGAAATTCTGGTATCAAAAGTAATTTAAAACATTCTTTTCAAAGGGGAAAGATAAAAATACTGATACCATGTCTAGTATTGTTCATAAAAGCACTCATATTCATCCTTTTGGGGAACTAATAATGTTAGTCTCAAATATTGTAACTTAATCTCTTTTGCTCAAACCAGTCATTGATCTGCAGTCATACTAGCAGTAAACGGGCCTCTGGTACCGTTATTACAGCTTAAAAGATGAACTAATACTCCGGGGTGACACCAAGACAAAAGATGTGGTTCTTTATTGCTGGATATGTTGAATAGCTTTCTTAGAACAATTTTGCTAAAGCTAAATGTTGAAAGGGAATAAACAACTCTGCTGCTTGTTCTGTTTGATACTAACTATATAAGGTGATTAATCTGTGAGATCAGTGTGAAGGTTTTATCCTACATTATTCATGCAAATTTTGGCAGTGAAGATGTAGTAATAAGTATCTTGACATGGAAAAAAATAAGTTAATTTTATTGTACGATGCCTTTAAAAACATTTGCATTTCTTTGGTTACCATGCTTATGTATTCAGAAGAAGAAAACTTTCTTGATAGATAGGTGAATGGGTACCCTAAAACTGCTAAGAGAAACACAGAATATAAATAGTTAGCCATTTGTGCCCATGGTTTGTTAAAATCTAAGATAACCTTAAAGGTGCTGTACACTGTTCAAAGATGCCGCCCCAAGTAGCCCTGCCTTCTTAGAGCTTGCTTATTTTGCTTTTGTATGTTTAATAAAAACCATCTCAAATGTTTCCTTGTGTAGTTTATGGATAATGGTTAGTGTGTATGTTAATTTCAGCAGCTAACTTTGGCTTGTCCAGGACTCTAAACGGTCTCTCTGTTTCTCCCATTCCCTTGAGGGCTGTCCCACAGGTTAGGCAGAGAAGATACTTTCTAAGAATGCCATATTTACATGTTATTAAATTTAATTGGACAATCATTTTTGAATGGTGCCATCCCATGTTTCTGTTATGGAATAATAGATATTTTTCCTTATCTTTGGTATTAAAGTAGTGTAGTCAAGCATTTTTAATGTGGAAGGCTTAACTAGCACTTGCAGTGGAAACTAAAGACGTGTGTGTCCTTTGAAAATGCAATTGAGTGTAAAAGATTTGATTAATCCATGCCAATACTTCCCATCCATTTTCTTAAGTGTTTGTGAACAAGCTATATGTTTACCATTATATTGGAAGAAAGCTAATACAAGATTTGGTCATGTCAGTATCAGTGACTTACTAAAATTTAATAGAATGTTGTGATTTTAAATTGTAGTTGGTTATAATACCAAAATCATGAGGAAGATCAATCTATGACTACAAGCCCTACTTTAAAAAATTTTCTTGCTGTAACTTAGCATTTATTATATAAGAAATCCCTAAACATGCAGATACTGGTGGAGTATGTGATTTTTTCCCATCTTCCTTAGTATTCTTATAAAATCTTAAGTTCTAGAAGAAGTGTATATATGAGTACTAAAATATCAGTTGTATATTATGGTACATACTGGATCTTTGGTCTGAAGTTCCCAAAAAGCATCAGTAACTGGAATATTACCCAGCAGAAAGGAGCTCCTACCTTTTGTGACAGCATGGATGGAACTGGAGAACATTATGCTAAGTGAAGTAAGCCAGTCAATGAAAGACAAACACCATATGATCTCACCTATAAGAGGAACCTAATGAACAAAATAAACTAATGGACAAAACAGAACCACAGCCATGGAAACATCAGGGGATGGGATGGGCAGAGGAGGGCAAAGGGGGAAAAATTGGAACAACTGTAATAGAGTAACAATTTAAAAAAATGATTAAAAAATTCTCCCTAATGAAATTAAAGCAGTTCAGTAGCAGCAAGAGGAATGGGAGACTAAAAGGTTTTTTGGTTTATTTTGGGGGGGGGGTAATTATATGATTATTTAAAAACAAAGTTTTGATGTGGTGAAATTTACTTTGTCTTGTATGTAAGTGCCATGACCCCTGGCTCACATTTGTGATTACCCATAGTCGAGAGCGCCAGGGACCTACCTTCACAGGACATGGAGACCACCGGTGTCTGTGAAGGCAGGTAGCTTTGACTCGTTGTATAATCTTTGTCTATAGTCCAAATGACTGCTTTTGGTAGCTCAATGTTGAATTTAAAGAGAAGAAAAAAGTTCAGTAGCATTAGGTAAGGTAAAGGAGTGAGAATTGGAAATTGTTAATCTGTAGGTAAGTACTTCATGCAATAAATATGAAAGGGATTAAATTCATTCCATGTAGTTTCTAGGGCAGAAAAAAAAATGTTCTAAAAACAGCAGCTGTATGAACCACTAATTTCTTGTCTCTGAAAATGTCCAAGCAAATACTGGGTAAACACCTGCTGGGGATGACCCCGTGTTGTGGGGAGGTGGCCAGATGATTCAGAGGATCCCTCACAATAGTACATGTTTATGGAGAAGGAAAAGTGGGAGACACTTTGGGAGGAATAAAAGGTGAAAGTTATTTAAATTTTAGTTTGGGTACTCACACCAATTTTCACACTTAATACTGTTATATGATACCCACTAGCTATAAATATTAAATGAAGTAAAAGTTTGGTAAATAATAAAAATAAGCAATAAAGCATTTTTTCCATATGCTTTTCCAGCATGATCTTCATTTCACTTCTAAAAAGTAAAGTATAACAGTTTTTCTATCTACTATAAGAGATGAAAGAGACTCAGTGAAATTTGTCAATAAAAGCTTTAGGAATATCTGCACATACACATTTACATTCAAGGTGGTAACACTAGTTCAAATTATGTTAGAGAACTCAAGTATCAGACATGGTCATATATATGCTGTTTGAAATTTTTTTTTATCTAGATACAGATCTTGACAGTGAATCTCTTGATGACAGATGTGCAGCTAGTTTGTCCCGGAACTCATGAAGATAATTATATTGCTGAAAAAAAATTAAGATACATTGAAATAAACTAGAAAACTTACTAAAGTAGTTACAATGCTGGTAGGAATCAGGAGTCAAAACCATTTGCTAAGAGCTATATCCTTTTGGGTAAGCAAGTGTTTATCTTTTAATAAGGCTGCATAAAGTGAAAAACTTGCTTTAAAAATCTCTGATAATCAGATGGTAGCTTGAAACGCATAATTTATAAATCTGTAAAAAATCCTTTCTCCTTTCACTGGTAGGAGCAAGTAAAATTAATAATAGTACATGAAACCATTCTTTTTTGCTAGTGTATTTTCCCTTGGAGGGAGGAAGGAGGGAGTAAATAGGGAGAAGACACTTTCTGTAGGAGTTAACTGGTATAGTCAAGAAAATCTATTTAATTTATAGACGTCTCCCCCCACCTTTTGCTTTTCTTTTGTGATGGCATAACCCATTTGGAATAATTTTCATAGTAGTTAATATTACAAGTCATTAATTTTTTTAAAAGATTTTATTTATTTTTAGAGAGGGAGAAAGGGAGGGAGAGAAACAACAATGTGTGGTTGCCTTTCCTGCGCCCCTGACTGGGGACCTGGCCTGGAACCCAGGCATGTGCCCTGACAGGGAATCGAACCAGTGACTCTGGTTTGCAGGCTGGCATTCAATCCACTGAGCCACACCAGCAAGGGCCAAATCATTATTCTTAAGAGTCAAATTTTTTAAAAAAAGTTAAATTTATTTAGTGTTCTTAATAGCTTCCTAGAGGATATTCTTACTCTTCTAATCTCATTTCATCTCATTACTGAGGAAGTGAAATTGCATACTACTAATGGGGAAAAGCCTGTTTGCCACAGAATGCTGAGATGATAAACAGCCCACACTAATGTGGGCTTAATTCTCTCCAAGATTAAAGATGCAAAACATGCATACGCACGCGCGCGCACACTTCACTATATTGTTTCAAAGACAGACTTGAGAGCATCTTGAATATGAAGCACCATTTGATTTTAACATAATAAAGGGAGCTCTATTTTCAGAACGTGTACAATGACGTGGATTCTGTGTGGATTGTTTTGTGAACAACCTTATTTGAGCACTGAGGATCAGGCTGCTTGGTGAATCTACCAGTTAGAACAGTTCACATTAGTTACACTTGGTTATTAGACTTGCACCCTGGGAAGATGGACTGTATAGCTCAGGGAGCTGCCTAAGGCCAGAGTTCTTCAGTGCCTGCCCCCAATTTAGCTTTATAGAGCTACAAATAAAGCACAGTCTGTAGAATCTTTTCAGCAACATGATTAATATATAATATCCTTGGGCACTGCCGTGACAGTGTTTTTTGAAGGGCAAAGACAGCCCTGGCAGGTGTGGCTTAGCGGGTTGAGTGTTGTCCCCCAAACCAAAAGGCCGCCTATTCAATTCCTGGTCAGGCCACATTTGGGTTGTGGGCCAGTGCGAGAGGCAGCTGGTCACTGTTTCTCACACATCTATGCTTCTCTCTCTCTCTCTGTCCCCCTTCCCCTCTCTCTCTCTAAAAAGAAGTAAAATCTTAAAAAAAAAACAAACAGGCAAAGTCAATGTGGAAAATGTCACTTTGATTATCCATAGTGAAAGATAATTAGTATTGCTTTACATTTTTTGTATTATAGCCATTCATCTATCTTTATTAAGTGTTTTGGTGATATAATAGGATCTTCATTAGATCTTTGTGGACAAAAATAGTTTCTTGAAAGAAACTATTAAGTTTATAGTAACCATCTTATTTTTCCAAGTCAGAGGACGCACTCCCAGAACTGAATGGGGAAAAGCTGAACTGTTCGTAGATCCTGAAAGAGTAAACTGGGGAGTTCAAATTTTTCATTATTTTGTTTGCAATAGTGTGAACTTTTTAAGACATCCAGGTTATATTTAAATGCAAATTAAAAAATCAAAATATAAACAGGTGATATATGAAAAATAGGCGGCTTTGGGTTTTCATTGCCCTTTTGATAATACAGGGGTTCAGAACCAGCCACCCTAAGATGTGTGCCTGTGGTACATGGATTACTTTGAGCTACAGGTAACTGAGACCCAGTGGGCTCAACAGAAATGTCTGCCACCCACCTCTCAATCCCAACTATCTAGGGGGATCTGAATAGGGGCCTCGCCCATAGTAAGGGAGTATTGGCAATAACCTATCTATATGGCAGGGCAAACTACGGACTACTGAACGCATGCTCTCCCTGCAGTGACCTTCTGAAGCCCCAAGCTGCCCTACTTCATCCCCGGCTCAGAATATATATGTCATTTTCCATTTATCTCTGAATCGTGCATATGAAGTCTCTGATCATATATATGTGGTTCCCGTGTGCATGAAATTAAATTCAGTTTTCTCTTGTCAATCTGTCTCACGTTGATCTGATTATTCAACCAGCTAAAAAGAACCAGAGGGAGGAAGGGGAAAAATTTCCCTTCCCCCACAATGCTGAATTACACTGTATTTGTAACAGTCTGCCCTCTCATCCCCCTGCACAAAGGCATCAACCTCCTTACCTTTATGGTCTGTATTGCCCCAGATCCTCGCAGGTCTCTCAGGCTGTCTATGGCTTGCTGTGGCGACATTGTGTCAGACAGATAGAGTAGGAGACAAGCGGCTACTAACAGAACATGATAGAAAAATAGTATGTTATTAAATAATGATAGGGTAGAGTATTTTATATTTAATTAGACTTAAGTTGGTTCAGAAGACTAAGTTTGGCATAGTTGTTTGAAATAAAAGACTGAAGTCTTAGTATATGTTTTTGACAGTTACGTCATTATTTTAAATGGTTGAATTAAAGTAACAATGGCTTCATTTTCTTTTTTTTTTTTTACATAGCTTTATTGAGTTATAATTCACATACCATATTAAGTATGCAATTTAAAGTCGACAAGTCAGTGGAGTGCAGTGGATTCACAGATATGTGCAGCCATCCCCAAAGTCAGTTGCAGGACATGATTTCATCACCTCCAAAAAGGAAACCTGAACCCTGTTGTTATCACCCCCCTACAATCCCATCACCCCTGCCCTAAGCAACCAGTAATCTACTTCCTGTCTCCACAGGTTGCCTATTTTGGACAGTTTATAGAAATGGAATCCCATGTGGTCCTTTGTGACTGGCTTCTTCCACTTAGCATAATGTGCTCAAGATTCATACACACTGTGGCATGTGTCAGTACTTTATTCCTTTTTATGGATGAATAGGTCGTATGGATATACATTTTGTTTATTTTTCAACTGATGGACATGTAGGGTTGGACATCCCTAAAAGATGATGGACATCTTTTGGCTATTAGGGATAATGTCGCTATAAACATTCATGTGTAAGTTTTTGTGTGGACAAATGCTTTTATATCTCTTGGGGCTATACCTAGGAGTGGAATTGCTGGGTCATATGGTAACTCTGCGTTTAACTGTTTGAAGCAGCTGCACCATTTTACATCCCCACCAGCAGTGTATGGGGGTTCCAGTTTCTCCACATACTAGCAAGTGCTTATTATCCATTTTTTGGATAATAGCCATCCCAATTGGTGTTAAGTGGTATCTCATTGTGGCTTTGTTTTGCATTTTCCTGATGACGAGTGATGTGGGACATTTTTTCTTGTGCTTATTGGTCATTTGTATATTTTGTTTGGAGAAATGCCTATTCAGATATTTTTCTCTCTCTTTTTTAAAAAAATTGGACTGTTGGTCCTATTATTGAGTTGTAAGAGTTCTTTATATTTCCTAGGTGAGTCTCCTATGAGATATATGGTTTGTAAATATTTTCCCCATTCTGAGGGTTGTCTTCTGATTTTGACAGTGTTCTTTGAAACACAAAAGTTTCTAATTTCCATACTGCCCAACATTAAAAGGAATAACTGTTACTCCAGTGTGGCATTTCATTAACTGCTGTTCTCCCTAAGACATTTAGAAAAAAGTTTAAGGTTAACATATGGTAATTAACTTTAGTTTTTATACTTATGTTGCCAGTGGATATTATTTAGAAAGTATTGCCAGTATGATACCTGCACAGGGATAACAAAACACAACAAAACACAAAAATGCAGGCGCTACGACTTGTAAATAATGCTCGGAAGGATCTTCCAAAACACTGCAGAAACACCTCTCACTCCCTCCTCGGGGCCCTCGGGGACACCGAATTTAGGGCCTTACTTAAACCAATGGGTCTTAGCAGACTTTGTGTTTAATATTGTGTTTTGTTTCATTTTCATACCGTGAGCATATGGCCCAGAAACAGGCGTTTGTGTACTATAAGTTAAGAAAAAAAGCTGAATAATGAAAATATATTTCTTACCAAGACAAGATCTTCCAATTCCTCCGTAACAGCTGAAAGGGAAGTACAGTTTTGAAATTTGTACATTTTCATTCCATCCCAACAACTGACAACTAAAAGACTTGTTCTTTCTGCAATCTATTTTTAACTCTAATGTCTAGTACACTGCCTTGCACATCAAGATTAATAAATATTTTTTGATTAATGACGGGCAAAGTGCTTATTTGTTAAATATTCTGAACACCTCCAAGGGTCAAGCTAGGCAAGGCCCATTTAGTGGCCTCTTTAAACTCCAGGATCTACATCTAAGAAGTGGAACTTAGTAACAAGTACTAAATAGATAGAAATTAGACTATCTTACCAACTGCCACTTAGATTATCTTCCTGTCTAAAAAAACCGTAGTGGTTATGGGACAAATATGTATAATAACTCTTCATTTATCTAAAAAGAGCACCGGGGTAGTGTATCACAGAGGTTTAGCATGGGCTCTAGAGCCCCACTGCCTGGATGAATCCTAGATCTGTCATTTGTAAGATGCATGAACCTAAGCAAGGTATTTAACTTCTCTGGGCCTTCTCACCTATAAATCAGTGACAGCACCACTGAGGACTGAATGAGGTAACATCTGTAAAGGGCTTAGGGCAGAGCTTGGCACAGAGTAAGAAGTTAATGTTAGCATTGTGAAGATATTAGCAATTCTGCATAACTGAACTGTCCAGAAAAATGAAGATTAACCTTGAAAGCGACAGAACAATTTAAATAATTTTCAAAGACCCTTAAAAATGTAGTACATACTCCCCAACTTTCTTAGAGGGTATACTGAATGTAACTGGGTGCTGACTTATCCTGAACATCATTATTACACTGTATTGTAGATGAAGCTGTGGATATGTCTTGTGATAGGATGTGAGACAGAGGACCAGACCTCCAGAGAATTCATGAACTTCCTTTCTACTCAGTGTCCCAGATGTAGGCTTGTTTCAGAGGCAATGACCTACCGTAGGAAGGTAGAACACTGCAGTGGTTTTCTGCAAGACTGATACTGCTTTACACCTCGTGCTACCCTTATCTTTACTCCTCTGATTGACTGACTCCTACTCATCCTTCAAAACCCAGTTCAAATTTCATTCCCTGAAATGCCTTGTGCCCCAACAGAAACCACTGCTATGCTGTGTGCTGCCTCATACACACCTTGTGCGAGTTTTATTGCACTTACACGGCAGCGTTGTTAGCTGTGGGTTCCTTGAAGGTGAGGGCTGTGCTTCACATTGTGTGTTTTGTATTAGGTTTGGGGCACCGCAGGTGTTATGGGTTGAATTGTGACCCCAAAAAGATATGTTGAAGTCCTAATCCCTGGTACTGTGAATGTGACCTTATTTGGAAATAAGGTCTTTGCAGATGTAACCAAGGTAAGATGAGGTCATCAGGGTGGGCCTGATGTAATCGGAGAGGTGTCCTTATGAGAGGAAATACCATATGAAGACACAAACACACAGAGAATCGCGTGATGGCAGAGGCAGCTGTAAGCCAAGGAACGCCGAGGATTGACGGCCACCACTGGAAGCCAGGGAGAGGCAAGGATGGATCCTGTCTAGAGTCTCCGAGTGAGTATGGCCATTGACTTTCATATGGAGCTTCTAGCCTCCAGAACTGAGAGAGAATAAACTTTTGTTGTAAGCTATCCGGTCTGTGGTACTTTGTTACCAAAGCTCTAAGAAATGGTATATCATGGTAGACAAGCAGTGTTCACTGACTTTATAAAAAAATGACAATGTCCAAGGATGATGAGTGAGACAGCACCAGTAGGTAAGATAGAAACTTTACCAGACCGTTTCTGAGGGATAAACCCTAGAGCTGTCTAGCAAGGTGGGCACTCAAAGATGGCAGAATGGATAGAAAATTGTCTTTGTCACAGTTACTCTTCGACACCTTTGAAAGGTCTGGGACAGAGGAAAATGCCAGTCAGCAGATGCTCTAACTTATGGGGTCCTGAAGCACTTAACATACGTAAGGCTGCCCATCCATCTTTCTATCTTGCCTGTATTCTGTTCTAATATCAGAGCATTTGATTTGCTAGAACCTGTTAGAATGGAATTTGTTAAGCTTCACTAATCTGAGCTAGTTTGATCTCTGGAAACTTCAGTAGAAGCCTCTTTCAAAAGTTTACTTGGAAAAAAACATCCTCAGAATTGGTTTGAAAAATGGGTTCAAAAATTGGAAAATATTTTTCACTAGCTACATCTAATTATCTAATGCTATTTTACTTAGACTTGGAAAATTTAGCACAGATAACAATTCTAAAATTTTGGTTTTATAATTAGTAAAGCAATTAGCAATGGCTTGCAGTGAGAGATTATGCTTTTCTCTAGAGACAGTTTGCAAATATGGACTGTAGGATGCTTCTAGTTCTTTCCTACTCTGAAGGCTATTGTTCTCTGTATGAGAGCTGAGTTGGGCCACAAACAGGTGTGTCTCATGAGTTTGGTTTGCCTTCAGAACAGGAACTACTGGCACAAGGCTGCTGAGTTCTAGGTCAAGGAAGAGAAGTTGGCTTCAGTTGAGTCTGCATAAATTCTAGCTCAACGTAATGAACTCAGGGACTTTAAGGCTTTTGAGGTGTCAAAGTACTTAATATTCTATCCTGTTCCAGAAGGAATTAAGCACCTTATTAGGATACAAAAAGTATAATTAGCACAGAGGAGGGCTAGGGCTGGCCCTCCCTGCTCTGTGACTCACGTCTGGCAGAGTGTCCGCTGTTTGTACCCGTAGCGCCACTTCTCATATTTGCATCACTACTGTCTACTGCCGGTTGTCACTCTCTTCTTCCTTTCCCCAAGCCACTCTTCTCTTCTCATTTTTTCTTCCTTACCCTGTTTGGTTTTAAACTTTCCTATCAGCAGCTTGTGTATAGCCACTTACAAACAATGAGAGTCCCTATTTTATTCTGGTAGCGAATTTATATCACAAATACAATTTTCAAGTCCTATTATTAAGATTTTCATTGCTTAGAGATGATTTCTTTACTGTCAGTTTAAAAAAAATCCACTTTCTTGCTGTCAGAAACAACGGAAAGACTGACCAACAAGTAAGATCAACATGAGAATAATGCGGCACCTTTTTTTGGGAGGGAGGGTCCCAAAACTATAACTAAAAGTCCAAGACAAAAGGAAAGAAAAAACGCCTGTAACCCTATTCTAAAAATTTCTAAAACTACTCTTTGATTGTCCTTACTCTTTAAAAGTAAGAACAGCAAATTTCTGAGTGCTTGCTCTGTACCAGGCACTGTGCTCGTACTTTTCATGCATTGTTTCTTTTTAATCCTTGCAACAAAACAGAAGGCAGGTAATAACTGAATGAGGATGCAATGATTCGGGAAATCATTCTGACCGGGACCTTTCTCGTGTGACGTATGGAGAAAAAGAGAACTCACTGTATCAAGGTTTTTCGGTTGTTTTTGAGGCAGGCGGCAAGCGCCTCCATTATTTCGCAGCAGCTGGCGATGTCGGGAGCGCCCCCCTCTGGGATGGGGTGGTGGTGAGCGACGATGCCGCGCTGCTGGTAGAGGCGCAGGAGGTGTGGAACTCTGTATTTGGACAGTTCCCCTCTGGTGCAGAAAACAAAGATGTCCTGTATACCATAGTTCTTTAGTTCTTCTGCCAATAGACCAAGATACACAGACACACACACACAAAACGTTGCAAATTTAATTACAGTCAAGAGGGAGAATATGGAGTTAACATCTCTTAAGCCAAACCACACAACAAATGACAATCTATGAATTTGAAGTGCTTATGATGATCTACAACAATACTGATCTGTGTTCAAACCAGGGTAAAAATCAAGTCACTCAGCACAAAAGGATTTAGAAACATGTGAAATGGAAAGTGATTAAAATTAAACCTGACTTTGTAATTCAAAATGATTTTTACTGAATTTTAAGATGAGTCAATTATATTGCTGTTCTTAAAAAAAAATTACAATAAAATTTGTTTTCTGCAATTAAAAATACCTACTATTTCAACATACACTCTTGAGAAGGGATGATAGCACCTTTTCCCCCCTGTTGTCTTCTCACAAAACCAGCCACGTTTGCTGCTTTCGCGTTTTACCCTAAGCATTGTACGTGAAATCTCCAGTACGGCCGTGGTGCCAGGGCTCTTATATTCTCCCTTATATTCATACTGTACTAGAGCATCATGTATTTAACTTATGGACTAGGTCTCCAGGAAATAAAGCATTAGAGTTATGCAACTTATTTACTTTTACTATATACTCAAGATGAACCGTGCAATAGTACCACACGCCATTCTATACACCACAACTAACTTTCTTCTTAAATTTTATTTATTTTTTAGAGAGAGAGGAAGGGAGGGAAAAAGACGAGAGAATTGACCGGTTGCTTCCTGCATAACCCCAAGTGGGTACCTAGCCTGCAACCTCCGCATGTTCCCTCTCTGGGAATCCAGCCAGCCACCTTTTGGTTTGCAGTCTGGCTCTCAGCTCACTGAACCACACCAGCCAGGGCTACATCAGAACTTGATTATGGCAACATTCGCTATAGAGGATTTGGTTCATAATGAATAACTAATTCTGGCTGATCTGAGCCCCTCTCCCTCCCTGCCTCCTAAATCCAAGGACAATGAGCTATTTAAGTATTGTACAAAGTGCCTTTGATCATGAACCTCTAGATTTGCACTTGAAATGTGGCTAGTCTAAATTGAGATGTTTTCTAAGTGAAAAATACATACCTAATTTCAAAGATTAAATACAAACAAACCTCTCTCATCAGGAATTTGTTTTATAATAAAAACCCATTGAAATGATACTCTTTAGGCTGTATTAGGTTAAATAACATGCATTATTAAATTAATTTCGCCTGTTTTTACTTTTCTACTGTGACAACCAGAAAATGTGAAGTTACCTATATGGCTTCTATTTGTGGGTCCCATTATATTTCTACTGGCCAGTGATGCTCTAGTAATACTGTTATGTTTTTGTAGTTCCAAAAGGATTAACCTGTTAACATAGCCATTTTTAAGAGAATGCAATTTTCTGCTTGCCTCTTGTATGCATGGGAACATTTCAATTATACAGTGGTTTTTCAAACTTCCCTGGAAAGGTTTTTGAGGAGGAAGCACAGGAAGTGCTTCAAGGAGATTCTAGGTCTCCCCACGTCCAACACTGTCATCTGGTTTATATATTGGATTCCATTGGAAAACAAAAGGGTTGGTAAAATATTGGAAACCCCTTTTGTAGAAGATACTAAATAAATAGGGCTTTCAAAATGTGCAAGAGTGGTTCTTGAACCAGTGATTTATATCCTACCATGGTGGGTGTCTCTAAATCAGAAAATCTTTACAAATACTGCAAGAGTCAACTAATCTATTAGCCTCTTTAAGTCTTTTCTGGTAGGTAAGGAATAAATTAGAGAAAGTACATCAGCAAACTGATAGCCTAAAACAACCAGGAAAAAATTTTAAGATTAAAAAAAATCTATACAGGTCAGAATCAGGCAATATTACATTTGTACTCTGATATAACAGCATAGGTAGGACTGGTAGCTTTGACAATTCCAGGCCAACCAGAATAAAATATTTTGAAAATCTGAGGGTTTTTTTAGTATCATGCAATATGTATATTTCAAATTGGGATACATTAGCAGGATACTTGTGGAATTATTAGACTTGAGGATATAGTGGTATGAACACCCTCGGGCATATGAAGATTAGCCCTGACTCCTTTTTTCCCTACCTAGATGCTGGCTCTCTAAATTTTCTACCTGGGATGGACCATCCACTATGACCTCTGGGTTCTCAGGTCAGGCTTAATTTCTACTACCACAGTCAAGTCTGTGAAGAACATCATGTTCAAAGATCTGGGCAGTGCAATGTTACTTTTCTATTTACATGCTTTTCTCCTTCCAACTGACACATTCTAAACCCAAACGCAGTTTCTATGTATAATATAAATATACCATTCAGGGAAAAGCAGCAGCATGTTTATTATCGTGAATGATGCCCTTCACAAATACATTTTTACATTTTAGAGTAAGTCTGTGGTTTGAAATTTTATGAAATATCAAACATTTATTTAGTATGTTGAAAAGAGACTATAGTTGCTCTTTACTACAAAGAGATTCTCAGAAAAACTATTAATATCATTGTTTTATATTATACCTACCTGTATCTTTTTGGATATTTCTTCTAATATCTTTAAATTTACAACCTATAAGTAGTAATAAACAAATGAAATAAATCAGTTTTTAGTCATATAACAAGTATATTTGAACACAATATAACTACTTTAGATAGTCATTCCACATGATCATTTATATGTTTCAATTCAATTTTGAATGTAAATTTCAATTTCTTATATTTTTGGGAATATAATCCAAAGATTTACAGATCCTAGCTGAAGAATACAAGAAATAATACAAGGATATTTATCCCATGTCCTTTCTGTAACAAGTACCTGGCTATAGTCTGCAGCCTCACATTGTACTGAGTGTTTAGATTATGTTAAGATAGGTAAATCAGAAATACAGAACTGTAAATGTGGATCTGGAAGGGCTGGAGAGTGGATCTGTCTTCCTCTATCCATGGCCCACCTTAACGGTTCCCCAAAGTGAGTTCCCCCTGCTGATGGCCTAGGAAATGCTATTAATCAATACAGAGAATAATGTGTCAGCTGATCAAACAAATAAATAAACAAAAAAAACCCTTTAAAAATATCAATAAGAAGCCAACTGTAGTGTTACCCACCTGGAAGAGCACATAAACCAAGAAACTGAGAACAATTCACTGGTGACAGGGGTAGCCTGAAAAGATTAAAACTTTGTCAATTTCAGTTCAGTTTTTAAAAAGTTATAAATGGAAATTCAATTTAACAAATGTGTGTGCATGACACTGAACAAGGGTGTTATAAAGGTTCATAATAGACACAAAACAAAAACCTGCAGTTATAGATCAATGTGTTGGTCAAAAAGGGCCTAGAAAAATTTTAGGTTTTGAAACAGAGACTTATCATTTGCTTTGTTACAATTTAAGTCCTAAAAAGTGGCAAGCCTAGAATGCCTACAGCTAGTATAAAGTGTACTTAGGTCACCTGAGGTATTTCGTCTTAGTAACCTTAGGAAATAAGCTGTAAAATGACCATTTGACAATTTCATCCCCAGCATTCATTCTGCATTACTATTTTAAGATTTCTTTGTAGGACCTCCTTAAACAGCTCAAATTTCATGATGAAAAATTACAGGCCACCCATTCTTTGTTGTAATGGACTTTGGTTACAATGAAATAATTTCTAGAAACCACAGTCCCAGTTTGTAGTACTTGGGGACAAAGGGAGCAGAGGCTTACCTTATTTGCAAGACAGAAGATGAGTTTAGAGGAAAAAGGGGAAACATATAAATACCACCTGCCTTAAAGACTGGGTGAATTTTTGAGTTTAAAAGGGGGGTTGGAAAATGGATGATAACGCCATTTGATGGCAGAACAAAAAACTTTAGGGACAATACTTATACTGTTTCTCTCTTCCTACAATAGGGAACAGCTTTCTTAAAGGAGATTATTACATTTACAAGCAAGAAAGAATTTGCTTGCTGATTGTAGAGAATCTGGTGTAACCATAAGTCACTGCCAAGATTAGGAACTTGATTTTATATAGAAACATTTGTATTTGTTATTGTAGCTAGGTAATGTGGTTTTTATCATAAGTGGTCTGCTGATAGATGCATTACTGTGGAAAGTAGTTCTAAGATTTGACTAAATGATAAATGATAAATGATTAAATACCTTACCCTATTTGGTAAGTGTACTTCCCTTTTGCCATAAAAGAATAAGTAGGTTTTGGTACTAAATGGGAGATCATTCCAGTCTAATCTCAACTCCTTGTTTCTACTGTGGTTTTCTCAATGTATAAAGGAACCCCACACCCCCCTACCTGCAAAAAAAAAAAGCCTAATTTTATCATAGATCGTAAATAAATCATGGAGTTAGACAATCCTGTAAAGATTAGAATTATATAATCAGTGGAAGAGAATGATTAACTATTTTCAGGATGTTCTTCATACTACAAAGATTATGATGTACACACCAAATATTTTAGCTCATCATTGATCAGAAATGTTTAACATACCATGATATCTGAATTGGAGTCTGTTCATCTTCAATAGGCTCTTCGTCTGATGAGTCAAACTCACTTGTTTGCAATGAACTAGGCTTCAAAAGAAATCAAGTTGTTAAATGTAAACAATATTTATGTATGTAGTCTTAGTATAGCTGGTCTTTGCTTAAACACAGACTGAATGCATATTTGTAATTTATTCAATCTGGAATACCAGAGAGATCAGTCATATCAATAATAAATTATTGCTATTTACTATCGTGTTAATAATTAAGCACTTTGTAGTAGAGAGTTGAATTGAGAATCAAGAAACCTGGCTTCTGATGTTGGCTCTGCCACTTACGGTAAAGGAATGTCGGTTTATTCTGGATCTCAGTTTTTCACAACTATAAAGTGAGATGTATTCATTCCTTCACAAACATTTCTTGGGTACCTTTATTTGCCAAGTTCTGGAGAGCAAAGATCCATAAAATAGAAATGCTACCTTCAGAATAGTTGGGAGACATAGATGTGTGTGTGCACAAATTACAGAAGAAAATTTTAAGTGCTAAAATGGAAGTATAATCTATGCACTTTAGAAGAGAAAAGCAGTGAATGACTACTTAGGGAGCTGGAAAAAGCTTCAGAGAGGTGATGGATTAGCCGGGTTTTGAGGGATGAGCAGGAGGTTTTAGGCAGATAGGGAAGACGTTAAAGCTATTATGGCAAAAGGAGAAAGGGCTTGTGTATTTTGAAACTGATACCAGAGTAGAGATGAAACTAGAGATGGTTTTACCTACCCCATTTATCAAAAAATAACCTCCATACAGGCTAGTGGTTTGGTTGGCAGAGGAGTATAGGTGGAATAACTGGCCCTCGACTTTGTGAATCATTGGACTAGAGAGACTGAGGTAAACTTGGTGTGCTGACCTAAGGAGTTGGAACTCAATCCTGTAGGCTTCATTTCTACATGGAGGACTGTGGGAGTGTTATAGGACCAATAAAAATCCACCTTTCTTCTCCTTAGTTGGAAACAGCTGAGAGATAAGACACAGGAAAGTAGAGATCCATATGTTAATTTCGTTACAGAGTGTCATATGGCTTTAAAGCAGTGACCTGGTGGGCTTGTCAGTTCTTCACTCCAGAACTGGATTTCCCAGTCACAGGCAGCCCTGCCACTGGGAACGACAACCCTGGGTTCCTGGGTGGCAGAGAGCACTCCAGAATGTACTCTGCAGAAAGAAGGGAAGAAAGGGTTGAGGCACCTGTGTTCAGCTCGTCCTAAACTTGAGGATCAGATCACTCATTTTTTCCCCTTTCTGGGACAAGCAGGGAAGGTCAGCTGACGTCCCTCCACATGGCAACATGGGGATTGGTAAGTGTAACCAACTAATGACCTTTCTCGCTCTGAAGCTATAGCCTATAATGGTCTTGTTATTTCAAGATCACATTACAGAGCCAAATTAGGCTATGGATTTGAGTGGTTTTGCATCTATCTGTATTATGATTATCAACTCGACCCAAATGAAGGCCCTTCAATAAGCTGTCAACCTTGGTGGAAGATGACATGACTCAGGTGGGACTTCAGCTTCTTGCATCTGTTTTCTCCTTTCTCTTGAAAGCAGTTCTGATGATTCAAGATTCTCAGTGTGTGTGTGGCCCACTCACTCAGGCTCTCCCAGACAGGTTTACAAATCCTAACACAGTTGGACCCTTCCGCTCCCCACGACCCAGGGATTCCGAACCTCAGGGAAAGGCACGCGGGGCCAGGTGGTCCCGGGGGATGGTGACAGTAGTGATAACACCCAGAAGCGAAACTTGGCAATCGTCGTTCATGAAAATTTCCTCGTCCATTGCGAGGACTGCTCAGTATGGGGCACAGGGTAGTCCAGCACATCCTTTAGGGCTGGGGTATCCGGCAGACTGATAGATACACTGAAAAGCTTAAGCCCTCTAAGCCCCCGTTTCCTTCGTAAAACGGGGCTCAGCCCTCTCCGGCAGGGCTGTCCCGAGGCTTAGGACACCCCGCAAGCGACAGCACACATCCCACAAGACGCGCACAGCAAGTGTCCGTCTTCCCCTCGTCCGCCATCGACCCTGTTCTTTCGCAGCCATCACTCTCGCGGGTCCCGGGAAGCGCTACCTCCCCTACCCATGACGGTTACTGCGCGAGTCCTTCCGCGACCACACCCGGGCTGTCCCCGGGCCCAAGAACTGGAGAGTAGAAAAAACTGAGATCCAGAATAAACTGACATCGGTTATACTGTAAGTGGAAGAGCCAACACCAGTAGCCAGGACCACTCCCGTCCCTGTGTCTTCGCTCCTCTAAGCCTCATCCCTACTCACCGGCTTCATCGCTGGCCGCCCCACGTCGTGACCGGCCACCTTCTCCCAGTCGCACCAGCGTCTCTACGGCCCCGCGCCGAGCCCGCCCCTCCGCTCAGCTCATTGGTATATCCTTTTGTTAGGCGGGGCGCGGCCTCTTCTAGGAACCAATCACACTCTCGCTCTTTTTGTTACCCCGCCCCCGGGTGCCCTGGCTCGGCCTCTAACCACTCATTGGTTCCTAGGTGGCCTTTGAAAGACGCGCGGGAGGAGGGTCCTGTTGAACTTAGATTGGCTGGGAGGGCGCCATCCTCCCGCCAGTTAAGAGGATGGAAGGGGCGGGGAGCATCGCCCAGAGAAAGCTGATTAAAGGTAACCCCCAGCGCTTTAGCGACGCTGGGATGCCAAGCTTCCTTTTGGCAGGATTTCGGGGAATCAGGGTAGGGAATTTTGTTTGTTTTCTTAAAAAAAAATCGTTTGAAGAGCGTGGGAAGTGGGGGCACTGCCCAGGAGCGTCTTATGAAAACACACCACATCCCTTAGACTTTATCATTATAGTCATATCTAGTCATACGAATGCCATGGAGATGGCTAAAAATCTAGATACCTCACATGTATGTTATTTTATGTTCTTTACTATTCTAGGACCTAGACAGGTTAGGGTGTAGATCAACTTTCCTGTTCACTAAATATGAATGAAATAATATCGTATGAAGGAAAGATAAAAAGTCTCCAGGTGGTTCCAAGCATCAGTGTTTCTTACATAATCAGCTATAATCTTTCAAGAATGTGTTTGATTATTCTCTGTCCCATTCTCTAGTGCCCATTTTGTTTGTCCTGGGGAAGAAAGTCACCTGGGGCAATATTACCTGCAGATCTGATAAAAATATGCAGAAGTTTCAGCTCCCTGACCGACTATTAGGAAGAATAGAGCTATTAGGAAGAATTCGTTAGTAAAGACTATAACACAGTTTGACTTAGAAACTGCATTAATCAGATTTCTCCAGAGAAACAGAACCCATATTATATACACATAAAGAGGTTTATTTTAAGAAAGTGGCCTCTACAATTACGGAGGCCTGGTGGGTTCAAAATCCTGTGAGGGAGGCTGGTGATTCAGGAAAGGGTATGGCTGACGTTCAAAGGCAGTGCATCTGTTATAGAACCAGGACTGGTTGATGTTGCATATGAAGTCCAAAGGCTGTCTGATGCGAAATGCCCCCTTGCCTTTTTGTTTTATTCATGCCTTCAACAGATTGGATGAGGCTGACCCACTTTATATCGGGGTGTTAGCTTTATTCAAAGTCCATTAAGTTAAATATTAATCCCATCCAAAAACACCTTGCAGAAACATCCAAAATAATGCTTGACCAAATATCTGGGCACCATAGCCCAACCGAGTTGACACAAAATTAGCCGTCACAGACATTTTAGACTTAATTCATGCATTTATTCAGTAAATATTTATTGAGTACCATCTGTGTCCTATGTATTATTCAAAGTGCTTGGAATACTGGAGTGAACTTACAAAGTCCCTGCCTTTATGTGACTCACATGCTGTTGGGGAAGAAAAGCAGTGATATGTGCTGTGAAGAAAAATTAAAACAAGTGGCGCCTGATGAGGATGCTATTCTTGACAGAAAAGTCGAGGACAGCAGCTTTGAGGAGATGTCATTTGAGAAACACCAAAGGAAGAGAATGAACCATTTGAATATTTAGGGGAAGAGTTTTCAATCTGTCTGAAGAGTAAGGAGGTGCAAAGGCCCTGAAGCGGGCATATACTAGGTGCGCTCAAGGAGCAGCAAGGAGGTCAGTATGGGAGAAGCTGACTGAGTGAGGTGGAGAGTGGTAGGATATGAAGCAGTAGGGCCTTGGGGTAGGCTTCAGAGTTTCTTTTCTGAAGGATTCAAGAGAGGGTTCAAGGAAAGGGTAGGGCCTGGAATCTAGGTAAGGTAATTCATATCTCTGTATGCCACGGGAACAAGCACTCCCTGGGTAGGCGTCCGGATGCTGATAGTCCCTCACTGCCTAACTCCTGCCTTCTCTCCACTTCCCCCTTTACTGTTCAGCACCAGGTGGCCCTGCCATTTCCTCAGAACATACCTCTCCCCTCAGAACTAAGTTCCAGCCCCTTGGAGCGCTGTGCAAATTCTGCCACCTCTGGCCTCAGCTGGGTGTGAACACAGTCTCAGTCTGTTTCCAGCTCCCGCTGATTCTGCAGAGGAGAGGAAGGGAGGGCTCTGGTCCCGTGGGAGGAAGGGTGCAGAGCGCTGGGTAAATGAGTATTTCAACATCTGTGTGTTCTCTCCAACAGGACTATGCCCAGGCTTTCTCTTTCTTTACCCAAAGATAAACACATCCCACCTCTGTGATGCAGGGGTTTTTTTTTGTTTGTTTGTTTTGTTGTTTAAGTTTGGTCCAGGGGTTGGCAAACTTTGGCCCATAGACCAAATCCCACAGATCTGTTTTAGTAAAGTTTAACTGGACCACAACCGTATTCATTTGTTTGAGTATTTTCTGTGGCCACTTCTGTGCTGTAACGGGAGACTCGAGTAGTTGCAACAGGGGCTGTATGATCTGCAAAGTCTTTTAAAATATTTACTGTCTGGTCCTTTACAGAAAAAGTTTGCCCACCTCTGGTACATGCTCTATGAGAGAAATATATATTTCTTCTAATAATGTAACTTTAAGTCTACCTCTTGCAAAGAGTTTTGGCTTCATTATGCTAAAATGTTCCCCTCTGCTCGGCTTGGTCCCTTCATTAGGGAGGGGCCCGCATAAACTAACAAGGCTTCTCACTGAGCCTTCTGGTTAAATGGCATCATAGTAACCTGATTTCTCTCTAATTCAAAAAATTCTTCCCTGAGAGAGGAGTGGGAGCTTAAGTTCACCTGCCCTACCTACAGTTTTCAGTTCATTTTTTGATGTGTGGCACATGGATGTTAACAGAAATGGATATGGTCAAAACAATGTGGAGGATTTATCCAGAACTGCCAGACAAAAAAGTGTTAACACGTGTTCATAGAGGAGTGTTTTAAGAGATACTCAAAGAGAAATGAAACGTGATAGCCATCAGTAGTTGTACTTGGATGCATGTTTTACAACAGATCTATATTTAAAAATATTTCAATATTAATACAAATGGATTTGACATGTGTCAGGTAGAAAACAAGAGAACACCAGAATCTTAGTGTTAAATGCAACTTAGAGAGAACATACTTCCTCATTCTGGACAGAAGAAGTTTAAGAATTTCTCTCGTGATGACCGTCAGATACAATATATGACTTTTGCTGTAGACGTGTTTTATTTTCCCATTGTTCATCTCTTTGGTGAATTGCCCCTTCCCAGTTTCATGTGGTCTTGTTGGGATGTGACTGGGACTGACTGACTCATGTTACCTATTCCTCTGGTTGCAGTTATCAGTCCAGGGAATGCATGTGAACCAAACTGGAGCATCCTCCCTGGTCTTGTGTGCTTGGGTGCTTTTTATTATTATTATTATTATTATTATCTATTTTTTAAATTTTAATTTGAAATAATTTCAAACTTACAGAATCATTGGAGGAATAGTACAAAGGACTCCCATTATCCTTCATATATACTCAGCAATTGTTGTTTATTTTTTATCATCCTTTCTCTAGGTAATAGAAGTTGCTTTTATTTTCTTTACCTTCATAAGATTTTGGCTTTACTCCATAATAATAATGAGTTCTAATTGGCCCTGGATAATTAGAGTAGATTGTAAATTTTATTTTTATGTGAAATTCTATTGCATTCTTTAATTGGAATAGATGTCTTTTCTATGACAGTTTCACTCGTTCCACATGCTCTTGTGCAGCATGCCTTTGTCATGCTTTATCCTGAGCTAAAGTGTGATACCCTTCCTCAGATATGGACTGGCCTTAGGGACTAGCTTGATGAGTAGAATGTAGCAGAAGTGACAAATGATAAGCTTGATAAAATTTCATACCCATTAATCAGAACCCAGATCAAGAAATAGAACATTATCAGCTCCCAGAAGCCTCCTTTATGTCTCCATCCACTATCCCCCCAAGGTTACCATGTTTTGACTTCTGAAACTATTGGTTAATTTCATTTGCTTAGGAATTGTAATTTTGTTTCTTAGGAATTGTGTAGTTTCTTTTGCTCAGCTTTATGTTTGCCAGGTTCATTCATGTTGTTGTGTGTGGTTGTACTTGTTCATTTTCATGGCAGTATTTCATTGTTTGAATATACTAGAATGTATTTATCCAACCTGCTGTTGATAGACATTAGGTAGTTTCCAGCATTTGGCTATTATGAATAGTGCTGCTATAAACATTCTTGTCCATGTCTTTGGGTAAACATATGTATACATTGCTGCTGTGTGTATACTAGGAATAGAAGTGCGTATGTTCATTCTTAGTTGCCACTGCCAGTTTTCCAAAGAGCTTATAATAATTCACACTCCCTCTGGCTCTGTGTTAGAATTCTAGCTCAACATCTTCACTAACATTTGGTATGGCCTGTCTTTGTCATCTTAGCCATTTGGTGAGTGAGTCATTTTATTTCAAAGAAATATTTAACTTCAAATTGTTGAAAGACTAACATTAATCAGTTGGACATTGGAGAGAATCACTAGATACCATTCTTTACGAGGTAGCAAAAGGTAATAATTTTTAGAATTTTTGGAAAATGTTCCTATACTATGGTTTAATTAGCATGTGTAAATATTTTTCTGCATTATTTTATAGATGCAAGTATTATTGGATGTATATATTTTGGGGGTTCACGCCTACTTTAGGCCATAAAACCACTGATATGAACTAAATGGCCCCAAGTTAAAAAAGTTCCCAAACTCAGACAACACGAGTGAGTACCTCACACTGTGAGGGGAGAGATATTTAAGTTCCCCAGCCAAATCAGCTTGGAGCTAAAATTAAAGTCAACGTAGAAATAACATTTCTCTGGTTCTTTCTCTATGCACTCTGTGAAACTGCAGCCCCTCTCTCTTCCTTACGGTAGTTCAGTGGGTCCTCACGGATGACCTCCTTTATGCTCCCAGACGCGGGAGGAAGGCACCGCCGCTGTGGCTCCCCAGCTCTC